CAAAACCACTATATGATTATGAGAGACGCCGTAGTGGAGGGCTCCGGAAATTTAGACCACCTGGGGTTCTTTAACGTGCACCCAAATCTGAGCACACGGGCCTACAACATTTCCGCCTCCATCGGAAATGCAGCCGCCGCAGCCGGGATTCGAACCCGCGCCCTGCGGGTCAGCAGCCGAGTACTTTAGCCACTACACGACCGCGGCGGGGCCGGATCGAGGCGTTTTTTATAGGTTTTGGAAGGCAGCGTGGCAAGAAGCGAAAGTGATTTCATTGTTCAGCTCATTCGGATTTAAAATTTAAACTTGCGCGCCATTTAGAACAGTGTCCACTCCATTTTGAAACGCTCGGCGCCATCTGGAAAGAGAGGTTTATAGCGGAACGTTGCGTAGCTTGGCTCGTCCCGACACTTTAATGGTGGAAAGTTTTCAATTTCTTTCCGAAACACGAACCTACGACGCTAACAGAAATTGTGACGTCTAATTCATACAACCATCGACGTGTTAGCATAAAGGAAGCTCTTTTGTTCGATGTGTTGCATGATTTTGCGTAGATTAAGGCCTGTCAAAACTACCAGTTACCGATTCGAAACACATGCACCTAGATTTACGTGATAATCGAAAGTGCTGTATGCTCAGCACTGCACTAAGTTCCTGTCAACATTTTTTTTCTTTCGTCTTTAATACAGGGGTGGGGAACCATGGTGTGTGCCCCGCTGGCATTCGTTTTCTTTTCTCGTAAGTTTAATGACATGTTTGCCACAGATTCTTCGCGGTATTCGCGTCTCGTTGCTCATGGCTACTTGTAATTTGCGTGTCACAATTTGGCTGTTCAACTCTTCACACCTCAACAAACGAAGAGACAAGCAAATATTGACACTTTACGATTTGCAGTGTATAACCAACATCCTTCGCGAGCATAGATAGTAGTAGCAGTAGCAGTAGTGGTAGGTAGTAGTGGTTGTAGTAGTAGCAGCAATGTAAATAATAATAATAATAATAATAATAAATAATAATAATAATAATATAATATAATAATAATACTAATAATAATAATAATAATAATAATAATAATAATAATAATAATAATAATATAATAGTAACAGTAGTATAGTAGTAGTAGTAGTAGTAGTAGTAGTAGTAGTAGTAGTAGTAGTAGTAGTAGTAGTGGTAGTAGCAGTCGCAGTAATAGTCTTGCTTTGACGTAGCCGAACATGAAAGGAAACAAGGAATGTCTCCCAGACTGCAAGAACAAAACAAAATGAAAATAATCACAGACGCGTAAAGATTATTCCAACAAGAAGTCAAAGACCATCGCGTGGATTTTTTCGCATCCATATATGGTCACTTTCAGGGTCACGGCATGGTCTCTGTGATAGCAGAGAAAAAGAGGGGGTGGGTGTGTCGGCTGACGCACACTGTGGACACGCGGTAATCTCGTCTACAGAATGGTTTACAGGGTATCGAGGGGGAGGTATACTTAGTTTCGTGGGACAGGAGTTGTCACCGGGGAAGCGGAACGGCCCGTGCGTAATAACGGCGGAGGCATGTCGTCTCTCGCTGTCCGTGCTCTATACCTGCCGTAGTAGGGACAATAGGGGCGGAAGTGTAGACGTAGCGAAGAGGCGCGGTGAACTTTGAGATGGCATGGAAACGAGCATGACCAGAGAGATAAAGGGGCCTGTTTACGCGTTGCGAAGACGGCACGTGTGTCTGCGAAACTGCGCTGTAGCGCTAGGCACTGAGCCGTGCTCCCGACCGGGTTGCAGAAATTAGGTGCCTTTTCTCATCTTCTAACCGCTACCACCACCACCACCTATAGGCCGGCAGCGTGTTCAGGGTGGCTAATTATAGCCACCATAACGTGGTGCTGATTAAGTATGAGCGGGAGAGGTGAAGGCTTTGTAAAAATTCACGTGGCGATTCGACACGTCGCTCATACGTTCTGAAACTGGTGTGGCATCATAGCCAAGGCTGGCGCTCAACGACGCTTGGGCGGGACATATTTATTCGCACGAGTATCCGTCGCGATCGTCTAGTGGATATATGGTGCTCGACTGCTGGTCCGAAGGTCGAGGCATCGAATCCCGAACCGCGGTGACCACATTTCGATAGAGTTGAGATGCTGGAGGCCCAAGCTTAGGAAGAAGCTCAGGAGGTCGAAATAGGCGGAGCTCTCCACTACGGTGCCCTTTATAATTATATCGTTGTCTTGGAACGTAAAACCCCAACAATAATGTTATTTAATAGGATAGAAAGGAAGACTTTTAGGAGATCGGAGACAGATGCATACCAAATTACACAAAGGTTACATCGGTGTTACTTCTGACTATTCTCTCCGCAGTACAAGCAGGTGAGGTAGCTGACACCACACAGCTGGGCATGTCAGTTCAACTCCATGGCTGAACCCGTTCCAGTTACCTCGGAGGTGCAACGGGGGGGGGGGGGAGGGCATATTGGTCTTCAGTGCCGGCAACCCTGACCACCAGTATTGGCTGGGGAAGAGGGCCGATTCGGCAGGAATTACCAGTGAGTTGCTCAACGCAGCAGCCCATCTTCACGCTATAAAAAGATTTCATTGGAATAGAGATGTCTTCTATCATCGAATCGGACATCGTGAAACCAGTTATATATGAAGTTAATGGGCAGATAAGGCGGCTATAAATTAATAGAAAATAAGCTGACTGGTGAAGGCTGGCGCGACTCAACCGCGCGAGAGAATCGATCTCATTCCGCGCGTGTCGAGGGCGTTGCCGAGATACTGCTTCCCACGGAACTACCCCCCCCCCCCCCCCGCAATTCTCGACTTCCTTGTCGCTATTCATTTGTGACAGTCACGACATAGAAAGGTCAGTGCCTCATTTACCCCTGGAAATTGGAGAATGTATGGGTTGGACAGGCGTTGGTGTGACAGTGCTACGTGCCGCATGGCTCCGCTGCTCTCGTTTTTCACCGACCATCTAGCTCCGAACAGTTCTCGGTCATTCTCACTGCGACGAAAATCATTCGCGGACAAAGATACTTGCGGTAAATATATTTTTCTTCTACCACTGGCATCATATAGTACTTGCACGTTTATGGACGCTGGCAACTGGCCAATAAGCGCTTGAACGTTAATCGAGGGGACCTGAGATGTTTTCGTTGGGGACCGTGTTAGTAGCAGAATAAACATGACTGCGCGTGTTGTGCGCATAATATTATCAGAGAAGTACACAACGGTCGGGAAAGTTCCCGAACATGTTGGTGCGGCCTGCACAATAAGATGGTTACACGTGTAACAGGCCGGTTACATAGATGTGCAATAAAGGAGTGCGCGTGACAATAAGTTCGTGACTTAGGGCCGTCGTGCGCAATCATTTAGTTTGATGACGAAGTCCACGCCGAAAAACTAACAATCCATTCCATTGATCGTGGGAATGGTTGGGTATGGGAGGGTGCACCTGGGAATATCGAACGCATTCCCTCAGGCCTGTGGCTAGGCAGGCGTTTGTCTCTGCAGGGGACGGGACACGTCCTTGATATGAAGTGGGGCAGGAGAGGCAAGAGTGGTCTATTGACATTCTGCGCGATATGCCCCATGAGAAGAATAACTTTTTTCTTCCTGTCTTAAGGTAGGAACAAAGAATTTTTTTCGTAGGAGGGGCGCTTCGTTCCTGGCTACGCCCCTGCTGTAGGATAACGGTGAACTATGTTATAGGTGCGAATGTAGCATCAAGTAACGGTAATCGGGACTGTGTCGTAGATTAGACTATTAACTTAAATCCAACCCCTCTCACCTTGTTTGTGGTGGATGTGGCAATACGTAGGGGGCAGGGATTTCATTTAGGAATAATAAGCAACGAATATTTTTTTTTCAGTGCTAAACGTATTGATGGATATGTGGGGTTTAACGTCCCAAAACCACCATATGATTATGAGAGACGCCGTAGTGGAGGGCTCCGGAAATTTCGACCACCTGGGGTTCTTAAACGTGCGCCCAAATCGGAGCACACGGGCCTACAACATTTCCGCCTCCATCGGAAATGCAGCCGCCGCAGTCGGGATTCGATACCGCGACCTGCGGGTTAGCAGCCGAGTACCTTAGCCACTAGACCACCGCGACGGGGCTCAGTGCTAAATGTAACCAACTACACAGTCTTGAAGAGCAGATCATGAAGCAAACGTGACGTTTTCTTTTTTTTTTTTAGTGAATTATGTTCGCAAGTGTTCGAACATGTATGCTTTGTGTTCAACCTATCTAAAAGCTAAGGAGCAGCAGGTGTCTTATTTTTACGCCAACCCGTCGGGACAGTAAACAGAAAAAAAAAAAAGAAAAATGGATAAGTGTTACGGCTACCAGGGCAACCGAAAAGCCACTCCCTCGCGCGAAAGAAAGGCCGACGGGAAATTGCGACGAGAGCGCATCGTCGTCAAAAGGCGGAACTACGGTGTTGCTTTGTTTTTCGGAAAGAGCGGCGCGTTACGCTCGGAAAGCACGTGTGACGTGCAGCGCCACGCGCGGCTGCCACACCTGCTGAGCGCAACCGAGCGACATCGGAGGGCTGTGCTGTATAGTAAAGGGTATACACGCGCTCGGAGTAAGATAGGACGAGGAGGTGCGCCCGAAGGCATCGCTAATTCGCTTCCCTTTCCACCACGCGAAAGCGCCCCGGCTTCGCTATAAACGCGCCGTCGCCTCTCCGCCCAGCACTAGAAACGTAAAGACGCGCGAACAGAACAGTTGGTTGCACACCCCGCGCGATAACACGGGTGTTTTATCTTTTATTTTCTTTTATTACTTCAACCCTTTGAGGAGCAGGACCGTTACTTGACAGGAGTCCAGAACTGGCGGCACTTCCCCGCAAAACTTGACCGCCATCTCGTGTGTGAAGTTCCTGTAAGCGGACTTTTGAAGTGGTGGAAGAAACGCTTCGATCTGTGCCTTCGTTGGAGTGTGCTTGTCACCGCTTCTATACCGATGACACCGACCCTATCGCGAACGTTCGAACCGTGAAAAAAAAAAAAAAAAAAGGAGCTGCTCTTTCGTACGAAGATTGCCGATCGTTGTTTAGCCCCTTTGGACGAGCATTCGGTGCGTGGGACTGTTCAATCGATGCGGACGGAAAGGCCCCTCGTGGCTGGTAGTAATCGTGCGGGCGCGAGTGTCGTGTCGTAGAACTCTGAGTGGTTGGTGGTGCTACTTTCGTAAGAGAACATTTCCTTTATCGTTTTTGTTTTACCGTTTGGTTGTGAGGGTGACCAAGCGAGAAGAAAAAAAAAGTTCGCCATGACGGAAACGGCGGGTGAATCGAGAGCTTTCGACAGCATCAACCTGGAATCGTGGGACATTGTGGTGATCGTCGCCTACTTCGTGGGAGTGATCGCCGTTGGTTTCTGGGTGAGTGGCCACTTTTACGGCTGGCGTCTTCGCGATTCGCGTCAAGTAAGATGTGTTTCGGGGATTTAGGAGTATACGAAAAAAAAAAGAGGGAGGGAGGGAGGAGTGGTTTGGATGTGTGGTGAGCACAGTCGGGCTCGGTGTTATGCATTGTTTACTGTTCTCGGCGTCCCACTAGATGGTGGCGGGTTCGATACCTGCCGTGGCGTACGCATTTGTACTGCGCGATATCGGTGAACGTTTAAGAACCGCCAGATGGCCAAAATTTCCTAAACTTTCCACCATGGCGTACCTTGTGTCGTAGTTTTGCCACGTAAAGCCCTATAGATATTACTGTATTATGAAGTGTTTCATTATTTTGCTTTTTGCCTCATGACGTATGAGAAATACATCGTGAGTATGCGGTAAGTCTACCAGCTGTGCTTCATGCGAGCAGGAATTTTGCAGATTTGTTGAATGAAATCACCGAGTTTTTTATTTTTTTTTTCGTTTGCGCGTGGACGGTATGAAGCAAATAAACATGCGTTGACATTTCGTGCTTTACCGAACGTGACAAATTTACAAGGACAATCACACTTTTTAGGTGTATGCGCATGCTCGTCGACTGACAAAGTCTCTGTGGCGTATTTTTCTGCCTTTATATTACTTTATTTATTTTATTTACCATTGAAAAGTATAAATAACAGGGTCGGTTTCGCAGCTCCCATTCTTTCTTTAACGCAATTTATACGTTTCACTGATTTGTGAACACGTGATTATAGTACAAGTGGCGCTGTAATCATGGAATAAGCTTGCGACGTCCACTCGGACGGTATCAGCACTTCTGCGCTACATGACACCGACCAATCTCTCCCCAGAGCACACGCAAATAACCCGCGTCCTATATCCTTATCCTCCGACTGTATTCGATTGTCCCCTGAAGTGTCGCGATTCGATAGGCATTCACACCATTCCTCCGATACGACGTCCCGTATCTATCTATCTGCCTCCCACGGCGGTGTATTTCACGCTGTAGTCAATCTATTTTTCTGATGTTTTGTCTGGCGCGTTACCCGCACTAGCGTTTGTCCTCTAAACGACTCTGCTTATCTCGATATCACTTGGCACGCACAACCGGTACGCTGCGAGAAGGTATTTGTCGCCGGCACGTGTGGCTTGCGACGCCGGGCGATTGATTGTTAGGCACGCAAGTACATCACGATTTTCCCAAAGCGAAATGAATTGGAACGTTCAGCAAAATTTGGCTCTCACTTAGAAGTTTTAATGTTTTTTTTTCTGCTTGAAGGGACACTAAAAATTAATAATGACTCGATTTAGATTGGCAAAATGCACCAAGAGAACTCTATGCCATATTTTTCATTATCAAAAGTTCATTATTAGAGGCGAAAATTAAGGTTCGAGTTTCATTTCTAAATTTCATGCCACGACTTCGTGCGTGACGTTGGAAATGTGAAAATGTATTTTTTGGTATTTCCGTGATATTGGCTCGATGAAATTTTCTGAAACATCGTATGCTAGTGTCTATGGCACCCACGCATGACAATGTACTTCGTTTTTATTGAGTGAAAGCTACGTAGAACCCAGTGGACGCCTTCAAAGTCTGTTATGTCACGGTGTTCCGTACGGAAATCGGTAGGTGGCATCGCCCCCTGCAGTTTTATTTTCGCGCCTTTTTTTCGCTTACTAAGCAGTGTGTCGAGGTAAGAGTGGTGTTTTCGCAATTGTGAAATTGTACTTCACTAATGCGCGAAAAATTTGTGGTTTTTACTGTCCCATTAAGGTGGTATAGGGACACAATGTTCGAATGTGTGGCCACGTATTATACCGCGTATCGCTGGAAGTGGATCTGCTTTTGTGCGTGTTCGAAGGGGAATCAACCAAACCGAACCTAGTTAAGTAGCTCGCCACTGAACGCTGTTTATTAAGAAACGGTAAATTGTAATAGGCATTCGCTCAAACGCCTGAGGAAAACACGAGAGAAAAACACGATTGCTTCGTATCTGGCCGTAGTAATCGTACTATGCCCTATACGCGGCCAAGTCATTCATACGAACAAACGTTTACTTGTGGAGAAAACGTGGAAAGGGAGACTATTCGAGCAACGGGTATATTCGAAGCGAAAGGCTTGCCAAAACGCAATGTAGAAGCTCACTCCCGTTCAGTTTTTTTTTCTTCGTGAAAGGCTTGCACTTACTACGGAGCATTATCTTTGAATCGCGTAAGCTGGGCCCTTTAATGTAAACTTGAAGTGTACAGGTGTGTTCAAAAGTTCTCAGCAAGCGTTCGGATAAGATTGCATGGGATAGTAGTCAGGAAATTTTTGTGCTACTGAAACAACGCCGCAACGTAAGACGAATGTACGCAAAGAAAAGGAAACACCTGTACATTTATTAAAATACTGGGATTGATAAAGCGAAGGTAATACGACACAAAGGATTAACAAATTACCTCCAAATCAAGTAAAGCTTTTACAAAGCCCCAACAATGTCACCGTGCTAAGGCTGTTAAGGAGTTGGCTCTCAATATCTGGAATGGAAAGGTTCATTCTTGTTAGGTGAAATTATCTTGTTCAAACATCCTTTGTTCTTTTTACCTGCCACGGTGTTGTATTGGTTATGGGGCTCGACTGCAGACGCATAGGTCCCGGGATTGAATCCCTACCGTGGTGTAGGTGTTTTCGATGGAGGCTAAAAGAAGCTTGAAGCCCGTGTGCTTAGATTTAGGTGCACGTTAAAGAACACCTGTTGGTCAAAGTTTCTGGAGCCCACCTCTTACGGTGAGCCTCGTAATCATATCGTCGTTTTGGGACGTTAAACTCAAATAATAATTATTAATAAAGACATTTTTGTTATTGAGATAAAACATTTTTCAGCACTGGTACGTGAACTCGACGGCTGCATTTCGTCTCTTCAGAAGCTGTCTCTTAATTTCGTCGGTATAGCTTAAAGCTTTTGAATCTAAACTGAGCGAACGACTGTAGTGAGCGAAAGCGTTGTTTGGGCTCATGTTCAAGGTGAGGGACGTTCGTGCAAATTCGACTGCGAGTGGGGTGGCTTCGTGGGTATATACGTGGGCGCAGGGTGGAGTTGAGGGGTCGGCATGCAATAATAGTGCCCCCTCCCCCCCAGTCCTCTATAGGGTAGGCGGGGGAGGGTAGTCTGCCATACTTTTGCTCAGTCAAACCTCTCCTGGCATTGTTCGCGCACGGCAAATGGAGACTGCGATGAGGGTTACGAGGACTGAATGACGAGAGAAACACACGAAAGAGAGCCCGAATAACTAGAAATGTAACTTAGAAGTGCGGCAGCTTGGGCTAGTTGGTGTGGCATGACGATGGTTATAGCCCGAGAACAAAACGACGACACAGAGACAAGAAGGACACGAAGGACAAACGCTAGCCAAGGAAATGTGTCGTAGAATAGAGTTGAAACAGTTGGCACAACATATTGGCATTGTTTGAAGGGCCCGTTTTTGACGGCATTGCTTTCGGTGCACTTTTTGACCACAATGATGACCGATGGGCCCCCGATATCACACTTTGAGAACTGTTTTACTTCCTATTTTTACTCCCGGTATAGCCAGGAATGAAGGACATGTCATTGTCAGCAGCGTGTAATCGCTTAATTCTCATATTTAGGCACGTCTTTCTGACTCTACCGAAAAAAAAAAAGGGGGGGGGGGGGGCATAGGGATCATCTGCGACAAAACAATGCCTCTCCTTCTTTCACTGGGGAACACTGCGCACGCTTTCTTGTGCTGGCAGTGAGAACTCAGTGATAGCAGCTCGCCGGTTCTGTCTGCAGCTAGAGACTGTCGGGCGAGGATGGAGAGAATCGTGCGTAATGATGTGCAATGAAGCCACGCTTCCCCCCGAGCGACGCAATCTTTACAGCTCGCGTACGAAAGTGCCCTCTGGCGAGAGAGTCGGGTCGTGCACGTGTCAGCTGTCTCGCAATTGCCACTGTCGCCCGTTTCGGTTCGAGGCAAGAAGTGCAGATGGGAAGAACCGGGTTCGCCGTTCTCGGCAAATGTTTCGGCAATCGATATTGCTGAGCGAAAGGAAGGTGTGCGACAGTACTTTGATGGGGCGAAGAAAGCTGTTGCCACAGCATGTCACGAACCCGATCGCAGATACTTATGCGGTGGTCTTCTGCGTCGGTTCTTATTGATGAAAGTGACCGACATGTTTACAAATGCTTCGTTGTTGGACTCTCGGTGTGCGAGTGCTGTTCCCAAGCTATCGCTACTTTACATATGCAAAGCCAGGAGAGGGGAGGGGGGAAGTAGGCGCCGAGTGATGAACTTTTAACTGTGTGTGTGTGTGTGTGTGTGTGTGTGCGTGCACGAACACCCTAGGCCTCCCTCAAACTCGAAGCTATCCTGGCTAAACACTGGGTCATTTCATTTTTTTTGTTTTGTGGGATGGGGCTGATAAGGTCTTCGTACTTCATGTTTTAGCGCTCTTCTTTCCGTTTCCTCGTGCTTCCTTTCGCCTTTTTGGAGAAGATGTGATATCCATAGAGCGAAAGAATAAGTTCCACTTGAGCAAAAAGGAAACGAAAAAAAGAAGAAAGTTCATTCTTAACCACTGTGTTACACTGTGTATGCGAAAATGTACTGAACGTCGTTGCGAATAGGAAGGAGACAAAAGCAACGGAGGAATAGAAGGTGACGATGACATTCAGAAAACTAAATTAAACTTACGCGTATAAGCAGCGAAAGAAAGAGTGGCTGCACGTTTTACAGACGCATGGCCGAGTTAACTGTCACACAGAAAAAGCCGCAGTGGCTTTGAGCGCGTGATAGGCAGCGTGTTAGACATCGAATCCAAAAGATTAAGTGCTCTGTTGTCGATACCCGACAACTACGCGGGCATTGATCACTCTTTTGTTTCTCGCAAAATACGATGGCTTCTAAACAATACGTGGTCGATAAAATTCTTAATTCAAAATACGCTTTAACGACAGAAAAGGTGGTAGAAAAAAAACGGGTGACACCCA